CTTGTTTACTTGGTAAAATGACAAAGGCTCCATTCACTGGTCACGGTGAAAGGGCGAGTGACTTATTGGGCCTCATACACTCCGATGTGTGTGGTCCAATTAGCACTGTAGCTAGAGGTGGTTATTCTTACTTCGTTACATTTACTGACGACCTTAGTAGATATGGATATGTGTATCTCATGAAACACAAATCGGAATGGTTTGACAAATTCAAAGAATTCAAGAAAGAAGTAGAAAAACAATTAGGTAAAAGTATTAAGACCCTCCGCTCGGATCGAGGAGGTGAATACTTAAGCCTGGAGTTCGATGACTATCTGAAAGAGCATGGGATCTTATCCCAACTCACTCCTCCGGGGACACCTTAGTTAAATGGAATGTCTCAGAGGAGAAATCGGACTTTGCTAGACATGGTCCGGAGCATGATTAGTCTGACAACATTGCCAGAATCATTTTGGGGATATGCATTGAAAACAGCAGCACACACACTCAACAGAGTTCCATCTAAAGCTGTCGAGAGCACACCATACGAACTATGGCGTGGGAGAAAACTGAGTTTCTCGTACTTTAAGATTTGGGGCTGTGAAGCTTATGTAAAACGTCTCATGACGTCTAGTAAGTTGGAGCCTAAATCTGATAAAGTAATTTTTGTGGGATACCCCAAGGAAACTAGAGGGTATGAGTTCTATCATCCATCCGATAACAAAATCTTTGTTGCTCGGAATGGAACCTTCCATGAGAAGGAGTTTCTTTCTGCTATCACTAGTGGGAGAAAGGTAGACCTCGAAGAAATTCGAGAACCACAAGAAGAAGTCCCGATAGTGTTGGAACCTGAGCAAAGAGATCAAGAAATTGAACCTCAAATTGCTCAAGATATACCACGTAGGTCAGACCGGATACGTAATCCTCCGGTCAGATATGGATTTCTCATGTCTGATGAAGGTGACGTCTTGTTGGTAGATCAAGGCGAACCAGAGACCTACCTCGAGGCAATTACATGCCTCGAATCCGATCTATGGCTCGAAGCCATGAAATCTGAAATGGAGTCTATGTACACAAACCAAGTCTGGACCTTGGTTGATGCGCCCGAAGGGGTAAAACCCATTGGATGCAAGTGGGTCTTCAAAAAGAAGACAGACGTAGACGGGAAGGTTCATACCTTCAAAGCTAGATTGGTAGCAAAAGGTTATAGACAAATCCAC